GAGTAACTGCACAACTGGAATTAAGCATCTGGGGAGCTGAGCTGTGGGGAGCTAACCTGGGGCGGATGCTGGGGCTGCTGCGAGCGCGGGGTGCCAGATGTGACTGTGAGTGCCAGCTGCGAGCGCGGGGTGCCAGATGTGACTGTGAGTGCCAGCTGTGAGCGCGAGGTGCCAGCTGTGAGCGCGAGGTGCCAGCTGTGAGCGCTAGGGGGCAGCGGTGACCGCGGGGTGCAGCTGTAACCCCTGGGTGACACCTTGAGCGTGGGGACAGCTGTGACTTTCGCCTGCCAGCTGGCACCACTGGGTGCTGCTGTGGCCATAGGGTGCCAGCTGTGAGCCCTGGGTGACAGGTGTGACCTTGGGGCAGCAGTGGTGACCTCCTGCTCCCAGACCAGGGACCCCAAAGCAGGGGTAGTGGGCAGTGCTGGCAGGTCCCTGTGTCCACGGGAGTTGTTCAGCTGTGTTCAGCAAGGTGAAGTTCATAATTCCAGTCCGTTGCAAGAATCAGAATCTTCTCTGGGGACCTGTGCTAACCTCCCATATCTGCAGCAAATGCTCCAAAAATAATCACCATCTTCGTCAGTCCAGGGTCAAAAAAACAGCTCACAGCCACAATATCCACAGGCTGTTACCCAGACCTAATCTTTAGGAGCCTATGGCAGATTTTTATCTGACAGTTTGGAACCTTGTGCTGCTCATTAAATGTGGAGGTTGTATGACCCTTAGTTCCACCAGCAGCGTTTCTTCCTGTCATACAGAGAGGGAATTTCCACACCTTCCCTGCTCCTTTTAGTCCCTGCAGGCTGCAGAGCCCCACAGGCCCTGCACAGACCCACACACACCCATGTGGGGACAAGGTACTTTAAGGAGCACACAAACACTCACATGGATCTGTGCCCACTAACTTACCTAAAGTTAGCAAGATACAGTGCTTGCAGACCATAAAAAACACATGAAGCCTGGGATGCCTGAGGAAAAATCTGACAGATATCCCTTATCCCAAGTTGATTTAATCAATTAATGCAATCAGACCATGAAAAAGTCTGATTTACAGCCAGGACCACAGAACCCACATCTCAAACCTCTAGATCCTGTCTGATGGGCCAGTGTTCAAAGAGGTCCAAACTTCATAAAGAACATGTTGGCTACAAACACTTAAACACAGCCTTGCACCTTCCTTTCCTGTTATCGGCATTTGGGCAATTTGCAGCAAAAGGCATGAAATTATGAGCGAGTGCAGGGAAGAATGGTTATGTACAGCCTGGTAACAACAAGTTCTTTCTTTGTATGTTAGCTCCCATGCTTGTCTTTTGTCTTGCTTTAAGGTACTAAAACCTTTAAAAAATTCAGTATCAGTTTTCTCAAGGCTTTTGGGGTATCTGTCACCTGAGAACACAGGGAAGAATTGCTCTCTTGGAAGGGTAAAATGTGGCTTATCTGCTTGGCTCCAGCAAGTACTTGATCATTTATAGCTCCTGCCCCACTCTGTTAGCTGAAACACTTCCATGCCAGTGTCAGGAGACTGGGTTCCTATAGGCAGAGAAGTGAGCAGGACTTTTCAGGACAATCACCAGGAATGCTGTAGTTTGTGTGCCTCAGCAACACATTACATTAGGATGTATAATTTCCTCAGCAACACATTACATTAGGATGTACAATTTACTCATTTCAGTTCAGTCTCATCACCTTTGGATCATATCATTCATTTGCAAAACAGCTGTTGAAAAACATTAATTGGATGAGAAGCAAATTACCATTTTTCTTAGTGACATGAAACAGCTGGAAAGACTAGTACGGATTAGCTGTCTCCTTGGTTTTATGTATCATTTCCTCCTTTCCTTCTCTGCCCTCTCAAGCTCCTCTTGTCAACAGTAGGGGGAGTACAAAATTATAAAACCGAATGGAAAGCAAAAAAGGATGTTTAGCAAAAAACACTGAGAAAATTGTTTCAGCTTGACCACATGGGATCCTGTTTTCTGTGTGTCTGTGTGTCCATCTGGTCCCACAGCCACTGGAAGTACTGGCTGGTTTTTCCAAGCCAAACTGAAACTCCACAGTTCCTACTGGTTTTGTGGAAAATAGCATCTGGCTAGAGGAGAAAAACCCGTTGATGGGAAGACAGATAATTCATCCCTGGGCTAGGCTGTGGGACCAGTGGCTGGTCACCCCATGGGTAACCACACAGCATTACCCAGCTAGATACCTAAATATAGTGTGGATAAATATATGCATTGTGAGGAGCTATAGGAGGCACAGGAGAGGGGGAGAGGTATTGGGAACTCTTTAGGGCTGTAGGAGGATATGGTGAGGTGCAAGACATAATCCCATGTTGTCCAGACTCCTGGCAGAGATGTAAGGACAGGACCACCAGTAAGCACTGTTCTGTTTTGACACTCCTATTCTGGTTCCTACTCCTCCAAAGAAATGACAATCAGAGAGGGAAAACTGAGTGATCAAGCTGTTACCACTAATTAGGAGTCAAATCTTTCTGTGTTGGGAATGACCTTTTAGGCCTTCTTTGCTTATAAAGGAAAAGTAATACTGATTGCTTTCTTTATTTTCACAGGTGACCTGTGAACATGAACCCCACACTGGTTTAACAGAATGCCAGAGCTGCCAGTCAGCAAACATTAACTAACATAACATTTCACTGTTAAAGATTAACCTGCCTTAAAACCGGGAATTAATATAAATTATGAAACAATGTTTCACCTGATAAAAGAAGGAGGAGCACAGGGTAACTGTGGTATCTGTTAATATATATGAAGACAGTGGAACTTACCTATGTGTTGCAAAGAACTGAATAATATCCTCTATGACACAATGATTAAACATTTCTTGAAGTTAAAGTTACAATCATATTACACACTGAGCAGACTGTGTGTGAGAGTAATCTTGCCTCCGAGTATAAACAGGGTGTAACTTGGCAGCTTCTGCGACTGTGCCGTTAAACTGTGCTTTCTACTACACAGCCATCCATTTAAATGAATGCTGGAGAAGAGTTTAAAGAGCCTGAAAGTACAGACATAGCTAAGGAATCATCTCTGTCCCATCTGCCTCCAGCATGTTCTGCTCTTTTCGTGTAGGATATCACAGTCATTCTACAGTGGTAGTGCAAGCAGGTGCCTTCAGACAACTTTATCACTGGCTTGTGGTGATAAAAAAAGCTGCTGTTGTAACTTGTCAAAAAAGCGAACATCATAGAGGAAAAATGTAGGATGTCCTATTCTGAATAAGAACTGAAAGATACCCTTCAAAGAAACTATTAATTCCACCCAGCCTTATCTGTCTGAAAGTTAGCTACTTTAAACTAGTTGGGTAGCCTTCCCCTGTAAAGAGATGTTTCCTCTGGAGGCTGAAAACACTGATTTTTCCCAGCATAGTCATTGAGTGAGGAGATGAGACAATAGATGATATGAGATGAGATGAGATGATGAGATGAGATGAGATGAGATGATGAGATGAGATGTGATGAGATGAGATGAGATGAGATGAGATGAGATGAGATGAGATGAGATGAGATGAGATGAGATGAGATGAGATGAGATGAGATGAGACGAGATTAGATGAGTAACATTGTGGAAAATTTCGTTCTCTTCTTTCAGTACAGGAATCTTTCCTAACTCATATATCTAGACAGAAAGCTGAAGCCATCAGATGAATCTCCCTCAAATGTCTACCATACCAGCCCACTTCAGGCTTAAATATTCTTAGGGATCTAAATCTAATGATGATGATGTGATGGTGTTCACCATGATTAGACTTGTAGATTAGTGAAATTTGATCCTTTACTTTGATTTCCTGGCAGGAACGGAGCCGGTGGGGTTCTCACAGCAATAGCAGCAACATGGTAGTACTGCTGCTGTTTGCAGCAAAACTCAGGGGGGCACGGCTCATCCTGGGGTCATTGCATTGCTATAAAAAATACTCAGCAAAAAGAAACCATTTTACTAAAGCATGCGAGAGGTGTGTAAAACAGACAAATCTGTGAGAACCAGGGAACAGCAGGACAAACCAGTGCTGAGACCAGGTTCTCAGATACCTCCAGCCATGCAAGCAGTATGGCCAACAATTTGGCAGTGTGTTCTGTTTCCAGAACTAAATGTAAAAGAAATACCTGGAGAGGATGTGACTGTGACTCTATAGATTTTGTCTGATTTTGTGGGGAGTTTGCATGGCAACATGAAATGAATGTTGGATGCATGTAAAGCACACAGTTTGTGTCATCAGAGCAAAGGTTGTGCTCCATGACATGGTAGTTGAATCTACTCTTGAACAGGGCAGGGCTGGTCTGTGAAGGTTGTAATTCATAGCTTCAGAAAAAGTGAACACTGATGAAATGTTAATTGCTATCCAGTAAAGACTGATCAGGGTGATTATCAGGTGAGATAATTTATTTAGACATTGGGACTTAAGGGTGATTTTGGTGGCAAAGTGCTGTTGTGATGTGAAAGGGACAAGGCTGCAACAGCCAAAGAAGAGCAGGACAAGATGCAGGAAAATGCATCTTCTTCAGGAATGCAGAAAAGCAAGTGACTAATGAAAGCTTGTATCTTGCAGATGGAGAGAAAAAAAGCTTGCTCTTTGGAAAGAAAAGAGGCAAAGTACAAACATTGTCTGCTGGAGGGATATTGGCATATTAACCTGCAGCCTTTCACACCTCAGAAACATAGAATGCCTTCAACAGATGAAGCAGAAAACAGGTGCCGTCAACCTAAAACTGTTTATTGCCATAATATAAAAAAAATCCCCAAAATCATCTGGAGAATAAAGTAATAAATTATTTTGTACAATTTTCACTTACGGGCAAAATGCAATTTTGTTCTAGTCTTTGAAAATAAAATTTGAGCTGACATGTTAATTTATTAAAATACATAAAAAGCATTTATGAAAACTAGTCCTGTTGCCTATTCTATAGAGCAGTGTACATACAAACAATTTATGAGATCTCTGGAATGGTATTTATTGTCTTTTGCTGAATGTAAGAAAGTTTAATGATACTAACAGTTAAACCAGCTGTTACTCTTCATTTCTCTGATAACTTTTTTAGCAATAGGATCAAATTCCCACTGTTTTGATCCATGGAAGAAGTAGAACAATCCTGGAAATGAAAAAATAAAGCATTATGTTATGGATAGAATAAATAGCTTCATTCTGACAAATCACCTTTGTACACACAGGAGATCATCTCTTCATTTCTGTCTTTTGCAGGATGCAGCAATAATGACATTCATCATCATTTCAGAACTTAAGATCTTTAGAACTAAACTGATTTTATTTAAAAGCTCATTTCATTTACCTTTCTGCTGAAAAACAGCATCAATCCTCTGAGTAATTCCTGGAAATTCAGCGACTGTCAGTCTAGGATAACCCTTCTCCATGGTCTGGCTGTTTTCATCAAACCTAAGTCATATGAAGGAAGACATGCAATTTTCCAGAGTTTAGATTCCAATTCTGCACAGAGTTAAGTGGGTTTTAAAATGTGTCCATCATCTGCAATTTAGTTGGTTTCACTGGGGTTGCAGGAGAAATTTGTGTCATTTATTTGCACAAATGGCCACAGGATGCTGGCCAGTGTGTTTTCCATGAGGCTGTCACTTGTTTGCTGATGAAGGCAGGTGCAGCCCCAAAGAAGCATCCTAAGTGAGAAAAATTGAAGACCCACATTTTTGACTTCAGGGATGGATTTACCTTCTCTCATGATAACAGTGTGACAGACAGTGCATGGAAACTGGACAGGTTCATTCCTGTTACAGCACAGCTCCTCTCAGACTTTGTTAAGATATTGTACATAGTCCTCTACTAGCTGACTGTTTTAGATGGAGGCAGGGAAGCTGGCTTATTTCTAATACAATCAAATTCTTCCTAAATGAGCCAGGACAATTTTTATGAGATGCAGCTAAAATAAGGGTGTTGAAAGAACCTAAAATGCTCTTCCAGATTTGAGGAACCCTCTCAGGAAAATAAACAAAACCAAGCAAAAAAAGTCTTTGCTTTACTTCTCCTTGGATACAAGAAATATTTTTCACAGGCACATGAGGCTGAGAGAATGAGTTACTAGGTAAGAAATGTGTGTTGTGGTTTTCTTGCATGCTATTGTCTTGTGACCAAGACAGTAAAATAACAGTGCAAGATATTGTAAATACCCTACCCAAATTAATCAAAATCAAAAAACAGGAAACCACAAGAATCTTAAAATCCAGCTGACACTGTGTGTATCACTGAGGAACTCCACAATTAGTCACAATAAAATCTGTGTGACCCACGCTTGCCCTGTTTGCCTGAGGAAGATCTTTGCTGCCATTGTCCTTGCTCACAGAAGGAATCTTTCAGCTTCCCAAAGCTGACTGCTTTTTTCTACCTGCCTGATCTTTGGGTATCAGGACTCATTCATGCCAGGTTGGGAATAAGATTTAGAGAGAACATGTCAAAAAGTCAGCACTAACCAGTCAAAGGCAGGAAAGGAACTCTCACTTTCCTTTTCTGAAAGGGATAAAATAATCCAGGACTTTTCAGAAACCAGAGAAATCCTGAACAAGCCATCACAGCCAGCCTTCTGCTGAAGTAGGTTCACTTTGATCTTTAATTTTTAGAGACGCTTTTGTATTGGTAAAAGTTCTCTAGGTGCTGGAATTTTTTTCAGCTTCCAGGCATAATATATCAAAACTTGTCTATATTTTGGATGCCTACTTCAGGACACACTTAATCTCTCAAAAGACAAAGTTATACCCTTCTCCCCATGCAGGAGACAAAGAAAGACTTCTATGAAAAGTAGGATTACTAGAATTGCCTAAAAGGTCTACTTTCTCTTTTATCACATAGACACTTTATTTTTTATCCAGATTATATTGGAGTCATTCATAGGAAAACATTTGTCAATTCTTCTTACCTCCAGTACTTGTCACCTATGAAAAAGTCTGTCTTCCCTGTATTTTTATTACAAACAGCTGCATCAACTTTCTTGACACCTTTAGGGAAGCCCAGTGTGTTGATATTCTTTGGATAACCTACCAATACCTGATATCCACTGATAACCCAGAATTTGTTGCCTGTTAAAAGAAATTAAAATATTTAGTTACACCACTCATTTTCAGACAGTAAATGATAAAATGCATCTCTTTATTGTAGGTTGTAGAAAAACTAGAAATATTTGGAGGTTTTTTTTATTTATTTCAAAAGTGAATTCCATGCACACATCCCTTCTTCCCACATAATTAAATTAAGAAAAAAAATAAAGAAAATATCATACTTCACCTTTGAAAAGTAGGATCTGATCTTTTGTGTTCTCGTATGCAGCTTCAATACCAGGAGTCAGATTTGGCCAGAAGGCAGAAATTAATTCCCTCTCAGCTTCTGAGTTATCAGGATATACCCGCCATAAGTGCCTGATTTAAATATGAAACAGGTTTTGTAGTACTTAAGAAACCACAGAAACTTCTATATGTGTAAAAGAATGTGAACAACATTGTGACTTACAAGCTCCTTCTTGTCAGTGGAGCTACCTGGCTTGATGTGTCAGAAAGGAAATAACTCCTTGTGCTGGAAAGTGTTTTGTTTTTTAATTCTCTCTTCATTCTGGCATTTCATTGATAACTGATTGATAATGGGATCAGTTATGAGCAGCTGAATATTTCAGGTTGTTCCTGTACTGTATACTAAGTGGGTTAGAGGAGCCCAAGTTGGACTTACTGTAACCTCTTCATCAGATGAATTCCCCAGATGATTTTGAGCTTGCAGAGGTGATTGGAGAAGAGATGGGCTCAACTGTATTGTCAAACATACTTATTTCTTAGTTAGTTAGTTAGCTAGTTAGTTAGCTACTTAGATTAGTAAAAATTAATTAAATACTTCATTAAATGTTCAAGGCCAGGTTGGATGGGGCTCTGAGCAACCTGGTCTAGTGAAGTGTCCCTGCTTGGAACTAGATGATCTTCGAAGTACCTTCCAAAACAAACCTTTATGTGATTCTCAGGAAATATTTGCATCATTAAGTCAAGTCACTACTCAGTGTAACCTTCTATACTTTGGGAATAAGGTCTCATTGGGCTTGAAGTGTTTTCTGGAAAAAAATGCAACATGTTTTTTCAGAGGATCCTGTGAAAATATTAATATAGCTAATAGCTGCTAAAGCTTTTATTTCCTTGAATTGAAATCCATTTGTCTCACTGTAAATCCTGCAAACATGTGAACCACAAAAGTATTCAGTCTTTCTGTATAAATAAAAAAAATTTAAACCCCACGCAGACAAAAGCCATATCAGTATTTACCTGCCCTTTAGAAAAATGACTTCTTGTCGGAATGTAGTTATAGCATCAAAAGACATCTGGGAGCCACAGATTTTAGGTGAGGTAGGGGTAGCTGGCCTTTTATCTGGGGTGCTTGGTGGGGATCCTGAGTGAGACATTTTGGAGAGAATACACCAAATTGTAGAAATACTAAGGTTTCCACACTTAGCTCTTTTTTTTAATATTATGCAACTATGATTAAGTTTATGGTGAAACTTTGTGAAAGAGATTATTTCTCCCCTGCTTACCTTTTGTTTTAAAGCCATGGATTTTACTCACCGTAAATGGACTGAATAGCACTTATATCATCTGGAGAGAGAGGAAATTCACTGGGGCTGATGTAGGCATAATTGGGAAACATGAGAGCCCTCTGATCATTAGAATGGGAGAGACCCAGGGCATGGCCAAACTCGTGAGCAGCAACAAGGAACAAGTTGAACCCTTAAGAAATGGGCAGAGAGAAGAGATGGTCAAATTTTACTCAGTAAATGGCTGCTATAACCACAGCAGGGCTGTTGCTCAGTGAGAGCTTTCATACAATAATATTAATGTTCATTAGGGAATACATCTATGTGAACATATTTTTGTACAAGACAAGATTGTGGTCTTCCCCCACTAGAAGAGAGAGACTTTTGACCCTCTTGTTTTCTGTTAGCTACTGAAAGTGTGTGTTTGTCATGAGTAGATATCTGGGGGTGAGTGTGGGTGCAGCTCTTTGGAATGTCCTGGCAGGGTTTCCTGGCTGAGGTAGAGCAGATTAGATAGTGAGTCAGATCAAACTAACAGCTCTCCAGGGCAAGGCAGGAGGACACGCTCTGTGCTCACTGAAGGTATCAAAGTGTCACTCTGTGTGTCACTCTCCCTCCTACAAACCTGAGAAAGAAAGGTGAGATCATGAATAGACAAGGAAAAATAAAATGTTAGCAGAATGCTTCACCTTTCTACCATTGGGACTTTAAAGCATATGGTCTCTTTAGGGATTTGTCAAACAGAATCAATTTTTAAAATATTGTGCTTCTGCATGCTTATTCCCTGTGAAATATGTTAACACAACAAATAAATAAAAACAGAATTTCCTTCATCATGCATCCCTCCAAGTAACATGCCTTTCCGAATTAGGGAAGAATGATCATCTGCCCTGCAGACCAAGATCCAGAAATGTCAACAGATTTAATGAATATCACAAGTCTGTGGCAGAGGAGAGGACTGGTCATCGATTGCCCAAGAAAGGCTGGTTGAAGCCAAGACATTCACTTCTCAAAAACCCAAACAAAATAAAGCCTCATTTTTTCCACACATATTTCCAGTTAGTCTTCCCCTCTCATGAATCTTCTGAGTGCTATGGGTTCTGCAATGTCTGGCTGCTGAGCAGCAGCAGAAAAACTGTGGTTGACCCATTCAGTCCCAGTATGGGGAAAAAAATTACAATTTAATCACGTGACATGTCCAGCCCTCATCCCTCTCTTTTTTTCCCCACAATAAATCCACACTCTCCTCCTTGTGAGGTGGTTTTACAGCATCTTTCTGTTCATTAGCACTGTGTGCTTCCTGAAATCAGTTCTCTTGTTGCAGCTTTCCATCTCAATAAGTGGATAAGGATCTAAATCTCCAGAGGGTAATGTGCCTGTGTACTCCCAGAGCTGTCAGAGGCAGTAGGTGCCTGGAGGCTGAGTGGAGCAGACATGTCCCAGGCAGATTGAGGTTGGGCACTCAGGGTTCCCCTCTCTGCTGCCTATTAATGAACCTGTTATGGAAATTTTAGTGAAGACTCTTCATTATCACTGGTGGCTGTATTGATTTTTAGGTGTTGGGGATGTCCTCTGATGCCTGCTGCAAAGCACAGACCATGGTAGTGCCAGGCCTGGTGTGCACCAGGAGGGGAAAAGAGGAAGCTTTCATCAAGGGTTGTGAAACTCTGGGCCACCACCAGCCCCCAGGTAAGAGTGGCTGTGTCTGTGGCATTCCTACCTGAAAAGAAGTGTCCTGTTGATATTTTTATCAGGGCTAAATAAGGACTAGAGTAGATCAAGGTTAGTTTATGTCTATGTCATTGTAAATATCCCAGCTCAAGGACAACCTATAATATCCTCAAACTGCTCTTATGGTTATTGCACTGTTTCATCTCAGCCTCCTCCTTCACTTAAACAAAATCAGAATGAAATTTATTCATCTGCATAACAATTTAGAAACCTTTTGGAACCTACCCGCTGAGCCTGTGGTCCAGTCTTCATCCTCATCAAAGTGCACATCACCACCTAAACCGTTGCCAGGTGGAAAGGCATGAGCAAGAACTCCAAGGGGGCCATCAAAATAACGAGGGCAATGTCCATGAACTAAATAATATGAAGTTGATACAACACTAAGCTTAGGTTATGACTATTGAAAAATCTATTAATAATTTTATCACTGTATGCAGTATTCATATTACCTTTGGTCCCAAAAGCAATCATTATATCTGCTATTCCCTTATGAATGCGAGTGAACACCAGCTGGGTGACAGAGCTCCACACTTTAAATGCCTTCTCAATTGCTTTATCCACATCCTCCTTGCTCATATCTGGTGTGTAGTTCACAATTCTAGTTATGACAATTCAAGTATAATATTTAGTATTTGCAGAAAAAAAAAATCCCTAATATGGTTAAGAAGATGAACAGAAAATATAAGAAATAATTTAACCTGTAAACAGTTTCCAAGATTCATCTTGGGCTTAGTGAGTTTGATATGTGAAAACTGAGTGTGTTTGAGTATGTGATAACTGTCCAATATGTCTTTTTCATGATAACAGTTGTGTACACATTATCAGTTTTTTCTTAAAATGGGCCTTAGCCAGGCGATTGTCACGTGAGCATGAGGAAAGTTACCTCCTCAGATTTCTGTGACTACTACACTGTTGTCTCAGCAAATTTTAAAGATAGTGAGGCTTGTACAGGGTGAAATTGATGTTTCTGTTTGGCTAACAGAATATTGGTCAGGAGTGATGCATGACAGGAAAGATACTATGGTTGAACCAGTAAATGTAAAACACCCAGCTTGATTTTCAGAAATTCCTCTCAGGAGCATGCATAGCTAACAGCTGTGGAGAGAGAAACATTTTCGTATTCCTGAAAGGAAACCATTGCTATAGAAGTCTTATTTAAATATAACAAATTTGTATACCCACAAACCTAAAATTTAAACTCAAAAAGTAATTACTTAAATACTACCTGTATGTCAGTTTGGTTTTTTTCCATCCAGGCAGAGTAAAGCCATAGGAACCCACATCAGGAACTCCACACCTGGGTTTCTTCATCATTTCCAATGTCTCATTATCCAGTTTTCCAGTCACTATCAAACCAAAAAATTGTTGCATTTTCTGAAGTTTTTCATCTGTGGATTCAGTGTTTATTTTCCATCCAAGTTGATTTGGATCTGGCTCAGCAGCATAGAATTTATTCAAATAGTTCTAGTGGAAAAAAAAAAGTGACATGTTTCAAATTTTGATCTGTTTCTTGAACAAATAAAATATCTTAGGACTGATATTGTTTGTGTAGGTTGTTGGCAAAACCTTCTGCCTGTGATTTTGGAGCACAACAGATGTTTTCCTGAGGATCATAGCTAAACAGAAACAGACAACATCGTCCTGACTCTTACTTACTTGACATTTCTAGTTTGTGCAGATTTATCCTACTTTGGTAAAGTTTGGACAACAGAGTTGTAGGCAATAGCATTGTCTCAGACAGGCAGCAAGCTGCTGTGCAACTGGAACACACAGAATAGGTCTAAAAATAGAGGTCTCAACAGATCCCAGATATGGACAATGCAGTTACCTGTACAAGCTTTGCATCATCTTCATTGTCTGTCTCTGGGTGGATGGAAAAAGTGCTAGAAACAGCTGTGCATGTTACAAGCCAAAGTGGAAGAGCCTTCATTCTTACTCTCATGCCGGTCCTGCTAGGATAGCCGTCTGCTTTCTGCCTCCTTTCTCCTGTCCCAGTTTGTATGGTTATGGGGTGCTCTGGAGAGACAGCTGTGGACTGACTCAGAGCTCATCATGCTCTGATTCCCTCCACACAAGCTGCAACACTGTGCAGACTGACACAATAAAACTTAATTGAACCCATCCCATTTCACAGTCATCTGAAGTCAGATGGGATTTGAATGTACCGAAGCCTCTTGGCTACACCTTCAAAACTGGCACTCAGTTTTAGTTATTTTACCCTGACTTTGACAGACCTCAGCAATTTCATGCCAGATTAAGTGATCGAAAAATGCAAAACCTTGTAAGTTGTCCCAACCAACACACCCGTGTGAAATGGAACACCAAATGTAGAGGTACTCTATATTCTCAGCCTAGAAAATGGGAATTGTGCAAGAGGTATTGAATTATGAATCCCATAAAAAACAAAACAAACTTTGGGAGAAATAACTGTAAGCAGAATATTTTCTTTTCAAATTGATTCATAAAGTGAGACAGAATGTTTTGGAAAATGGTTGAAAATTCCAATTCCATACCCACTTCTTTCTGGCAACTTTTTGAAACAGTGTGTTTCTTTTAAATTATTCTGGTGGAATCCAAGATATAGATAAATGAGATCAATTTTACCTAATAAATTGAACCTAAGGAATGTGAATTATCTTGTATCTCTGTCTATCTATCTATCTATCTATCTATCTATCTATCTATCTATCTATCTACCTATCTACCTATCTACCTATCTAATCTATCTATCTGCCATTTTATCACTAAAGGGTCTTTTCAGTTTAACCACATTAGCCACAGGGGATATGATTATTTCCTGACTTAAGTAATTCAGAAAAAGGGAAGTTTCAAGAGTCACAGGCTGTGACAAATTATGGGATTTCACCCTGTTCTAGCCAAGCACCTTCCTCTTCCACTGGCAGCAAAGGGAGATGAAGGTGTTCAACACCTCAGAGGAGCTCTCACAGCACATACTCAACTTTTACAAAATTATTGAATGAAATGACTTCATGTTTGACCATGGCTTTCTCAGAAAATCCATGCTTTTGTTTTCTGGCTTTTTTGCTGTCTCTTCCAGCCAACTTTTCTCCAGCTGAAGGCATTAATAATGACATTTTTCATCCCAATAGCCTTCTTGTTAAATTTTTTGTCTACTTAGAAAAAGAAAAATCAAACACTTCTCTTGATTATTATCATTACACTGTATGGATCCCATTCAGTTTTGCATGTATTTGACCATATTGATTAGGTTTTTGTTGATATAATGGATGTTTAGACAGCTACCTAGCAGACACCCATGTTGTCAACAATTAGGAATGTTAGGAATGTACCAGTCCCTGCTGGTGTAGTGTTAAGATCATGACCATGTTGCAGCACAATTTCTGGCTCCTGGGATGCTCTGTGTAACATCATCAGCACTACTGATGTGATGAGGATAGGTAGTGAACTTTCTGGGTGGCTGCTGTCTTCTAAGAGCAGAAAAGAAGTCATGAGGTAGTTCAACATCCACCAACTCTAATAAATGTCAAAGATAAGCATTAGGAAACCGTAACCAGAAGCTGCTTATACAGCTTCTTCTTTTCCCAGACCTCAAGGCCAGCTATAGACATGTTTGTGAAACATCACTTGTGAACCTTTTCCGGTCTCTCTCCCTTGGGCAGTGGGAACTGGCTGCTGTGTGTGCTGTGTAGATGGCCATGTTGCAAAACCCTGGTAGTGTCTTCTGTGACGTAGACCTCCATCATTTGTCACTCAAAAGTCTTCTGAGCAAACACTAATGTTAGCTGAAGCTAAAAATATAGTCTAAATTAGAGATATCAACTTCTCTAGATTGAATGAAGACATTGTAGAGATCAGATGACCCTACTTTAAGATAGTTGATTGAATCACTCTCCAGAGATACATATTTCTCTGTTTTCTGTGGAAGAAAGCGTAATTAATAAATGCATAAAGTTAGATGCAGCTGATCTTAATCCAGCTGCTCTTATTGTCTCTATCCTTCACTGCTGCATGGCAGACAGCTGTGGGGATCTGATAGCCAGCTGCAGTGGAAAGCAAGAAAACCAATTCTCTGAGTTCATGTCAAATCTGCCCATAGTTTCTATAAAATTAAATTCATATCAGCCAAAACATGTTTTCAAAAATGTTTTCTAGTGCCATGGGAAAATGCTTGGTGCAAAAGACCTGAACAGAATTTGTCTTTTGTGACATATGCATGATTATAATCAGAGTGTAGCACCATGGTCATTCCTTCTAGCTTTGAAACCTTTGAGACAAATGAATATATCCATTCAAAAACATAAGATTGATCTCTAAAAAGAAAGCCACACTGGTGGCTATGATCCAGAACCTAGAGGGGACATGTGGCTTCTAAACTGGTAGATGGAAGCCAGCTGGAGACCTTTAGGCACCTTAATGGCACTAGAGAACTGTTCAGGCAGAAGGGTTGTGCCACTACTCTTCAGACTCAATCCTTCCACAGAGCCAATAAAATTGAATTGTTACTCAGCTTGAGTGAAAAACAAGGGGCAAAGGAAAATGGTCCAGGTAATGTCTTTGACTCTTGATGGACTTTTAGCAGACTGCACTGTGTGAGGCCCAAACTCAGCCATGCCAACACAGGTCCCCAGAGACATCCCTAGAAAGGCCCTAGCTCAGTGGGCCTCTGTGGAGTGATGGGCTCCCAGGAGTCCTGTTTCATACCTGCATGGATTACTAGGAGATCTTACAGAACCACAAATGCACTAAACACATCTAGGGAATTGAATTCCTGGCTGGGAAAATCTGTCTTACTAATGATACACGCTACAATTACACACCACACCTGTAGCAAGACTCCAGGGAGGGGTTTCAGTAGTTAACATAGTACAGTAGTTAACATAGTACAGTAATTAGCAAATAGAGGTAAACTTATTAAAAAGGAAAAAGAAAATGACAGGTGATTTTATGGACAAAACACCCCAGTTCCTGATTACTGAAAGCCTGCTTTGCGCCTGAAGGAAGAGGAGTGGCCAGCACCAGATGTGCCCTCCTCTCCATGGTGTGGCTGGGATGGAGCAATCTGTGCTCCCACAGACAGAGGAAATGTTCTCTCACATAAGTACAGGGCAGATTTCTCACAAAGGAATCACTTCATTTTGAGCTCTTGTCTTCCTGCTCATGGGAAATTCACAAAGTGAATTTCAAAACTGCATCTGGCAACTAAAATTTGGACAGGATGTGAAAGGGCATGGACTAAAAATATTGCATTAGAAACTTTATCCTATTTTTAACTTCTTAATTTTCCACAGTCCATAAATCACCCTTTATCTCTCCTTCCTCTAAAACATAACCTCCTCCTTACTCCTTATTTCCCATTTAACATTTTCACTGCCCCATGAGTACTCACCACCATTTGCTTCTAGAGAGGGACTAGAATTTTGCTCTAAATCTGAGAAGCTCTTTTGATATCACCTTGAGATCCTTTGCTTTTACTTCATATGTGCAGGGAACATATACCTCTAGTTTATATTTTTTGATACAAATTGTTCTAGTAAGAAATATTATGTTTGTTTGTAAATCTTGTGTTATATTTGTAGATCATTTCTGCTAAAAAATAATATCAATCAACACAATCAATTTAGATTTATATACCTCTAAAAGAATTTTTGGTTTAATTGTCATTCAGTAGTACTGGCTTATGCAAGAAAATATGACTCAATAGCATTGCTACTGAGGTTTGACTTTACAGAACTAGTACCTATAACATCTTGTGAGAACAGGATTCACATAAATTAACTTCTTAATTAAAACCTTTGATTTGCAGCAATTTATTTTTATTATTTTCTAATATTTCCTTCGGTTTTATAAAGTGTATGACCAAATTAATTTTAAATTATACAATTTCTTATCTTTGAATACTATTGAGACTGATTTACACTGAATTTAATAGGAATAAGAACTACCAAGTCTGTTCTTTATTTATGAAGGATAAAATTTAATAACCTTCTAATACAGATAAGTAATGAAAAAATTGAAATAGGTATGCTTTTATGAGACTACACATTATTTTCTCAAAATGTAGTAACTTATTGCACTAACCTTAAACCTTCCTCTAAAGCCTGTTGAATTATACAGATATAAAAAATGATATATTTTGTTCTGTTTATGTGGCTTCTAATGTTATCAGCTGAGCTACAAAGACTGAAGAGAAAGTGAATAACCCTTCAAAAACCATTTTAACTGAGGGCTTTTGCAGAAAATGTGGTTAAGCTGGAAATCAAACTGTCCTTGTAATCTTGAATCTTTGCATCAGAAGTATTTCTGGCCAAGAATTTTCATCTTTTAAGCAAACTTCTTGATTCTCTAACCCACTGGAATTGGGTGGGATTTAGTAACTACTGGAGTAGTAAGAGTAGAAAGAGCCTTGATTAAAGAAGTTTATTTGTTTATCATATGATGTGGCTACCTTTGAGAGCAAGTGACTTGTTTCTTATCTCAGGGGTCCTTTATAATCTATGTTTCTTCATTTCTGAGTTTGAAACTAGTTCCTAAACCCAAAAACATGAGAATATTCCCTCTTTCCTGTCCTTCTACCCTCTGCCCACTGTTGTAAAAACATACACCCAGGGGAGCAGTCTAAGAGCGGAAGTATGGGAAAGAGGAACAGAAAGTGGAAGTAGATCTGTACACTAATGATAACGAGCCCAAATTAATTAATCATCAGATTTTCACCAGGGTTTGTGAGCAGTGGAGGGGTACAGAGACAAGTGTGTCCTCCTTACTCTGTTTTTGTGAAAAAACTTGACCTTTCCTGCCAGAATACATTTTTCAGTGTTTGAAAGCTAGGCTTGGCTCTTGAGCATCAGGCCAAAAAGACATCAAGAACAAAATTATATGAGAAACATAATTTATTAGGAAACTTGACCGTAACAGGAGAAGTTGTGATAAATTATATAAATTTATTTGACTTAAAATAAATAA